AAATAAGACCCAAAACTCGACCGCTTTCAAATAGTTGACTATTCTTCTTCAGGACTATTCTTTGTATTATATATTTGATATAAGAATGATCAGTTATTCATTTTACCCTACACTGATGATTTAGTGATAGTTCGTGGTAGAAGAGACTATATACAAGATACGATATAAAGAGATACTGAAAAACTGTAGATGTGTTTTGCAGATTGTAGATATTATGCAGATCAAAACACATGGTAGTGTGTCATGTGGCCAAAACAATCTGTTGCAGGACACACTGTGTTATTAACAGAAGTGATAGTTTAGTGATTTTCCACTTTCTGTATCTCGAACCGTGGCAGTTCAAACAAACACATATTTTCAGTGGATGTGCTCTGACTTCACATACTTAATTTCAAGGCAATCTTTCAAGAAATACTTGAGATATAACATCTCCAATTTTGATTGAATTTCTTTGCACCAAAAGTACTGAAACTTTTATCTGATCAAAAAAACATACTTAACTTTTATGGATTTTTTTCAAATTTAGTACACTGATAGATTTTTTCAACCTACAATTAGGAGTCTCATTTGGTGAAAGTACAAGCAAAGTTTTTCAACCAAAACTGCTCAAATTTGACAAAACTCTTTGTGCTCATCTATACAAAATGTAATGTAAGCTATCTGTGTAAAGTTATTACTACAGCTTCACCTAAGAGTAAAAGTGGACTGTTCTTAGTTTTTGTAATTTGGATTAAAGATGGCTGACTTAGAGCAACAATACTATAAGGTGACAGGACGTGCAGATATATAAATATTGGTTAGGCCAAGCAAACTAGATTAGCAGTTTCTAACTCAATTTTTCAAAAGAATTATACGAGTGGACAGTTATTATGTATTATTCATTGCCAATTTTTCAGCACAACTTTACTAAATTTTATGAAATTATCGTAATTAAAGAGTGTTTAGCATCACATGATGTTAGCTTAAGCAATTAGCATAAATAATGATGCTTGATACAGCTGTACTGATTGCATGGGGGTGATGAAAAGAAACTGTTAATCTAAATGTTATGGTGTTACTATAAAGAAAGCTAATAACACCTGTTTAGAGAGAAATACTAACACCATATATTTTAAAGAATCTGGCTGGCTCTGTAAAGTAAAGGTCTGTTCTGAATAATATGGTTGCAATCCTAAAGCTAAAGTGGGTTATTATCAAGTGTCACTTTCTTACTTGCTGTGATTTGTTGGTGTGTATTAACAAAAAGTCATGATATTTACTCAAAAACACGTTAGATGTGAAAAAAAGGTGTGACCAAAACAGTATCAAGCCTGTGATTTAAATGAATGAAATCAAAATTGGGAGCCAAACTGGTAGCTATACTTATAGCATTAATAAGAATTTTACAGCAAATATTCATTCATTAGTTAGCTAGGCCACATTTTGTTTTACCCACCATCATGACCCAAGTTGAAGAAAAACACGGCCTGGCTAACTAATGAATGTATATGTGATGTAAAATTCTTATCAATGCTCCAAGTGTAACTACCAGTTTGGCTGCCAATTTTGATTTCGTCGCTTTAAGTCTCTATCTTTTTCATTCAATCCTTTATTTGCTGCACCTTTTTTTCACACCTAAGGTGTTTTTGATTAGATACAATATTCAAACAGAATGATGGATAAAAGTATTTTTACTCTTCATCTTGCACTCAAGACTTGAGTCACAATGATATCATCAGTTCACAGATGTAACATGAGTAGAAATACTTTTATAACAAATCTGATTTTTTTTTTGTACAATAGACAAGTTTGCTACCTTTCATGTAGATATACTTATTAAAATCAGAATTATAGTCAACATTCTTTCTTCAGTATGGGATTGGTCCAATGGAGAAATTCCTTGCACATTTAATTAACATATTCTACAGATTGAAAAACAATGGATCATTTCAATTGCAACAAGATTAGATGAATTTGTATTGAAACAGTGAAATGATCTTTAATACCATTATATATCAAAGAAAAAAAATTTAATAATGCTTATGTGAACCTATATGTCCCTAAGATACACTAAATTTAAATAAGGAATAAGAATATTCATATTATTCAGCTAATTAAATTTTGGAAGACAAACTGTATTAGAAGTTATTTATAATCAACAGTTAGTTTCTGAATTAAATATATTTTGAGTTCTTTTTTCAATCTTACTAATGTTATTCATACTTAAATTAAATCTGTAATTTATTTCAATACCTCTGACAATACACATAGGATGCAATATTTAAGAATACTGGCTCTTGGCTCTGCTCTCCCCCTCCAACAATACATGTAACATGTTAGCATTTATGAATACAAGCTCTGCTCCTCCCTTCCACCAATACATGTAGGATGTTAACATTTATGAATGCAGGCTCTGCTCCTCCCTTCCAACAATACATGTAATATGTCAATGTTTATGAATATATATGCTCTGCTCCTCCCTTCTAACAATACATGTCAGATGTCAATGTTTATGAATGCAGGCTCTGCTCCTCCCTTCCAACAATGCATGTAGGATGTCAATGTTTATTACCACATGCTCTGCTACTGCCTTCCACATAGCCATAGGTTTTGAAAACTATGTCACAGATTTCAATACTACCTTCCACAGAGCTACAGATTCTGATGCCTAATATAATCACATAAATTGGAAGTTTGATTACATAAAAAATGCCTCAGTGACAACAGTTACCAAGTTAACCTTTTAACTTGGTTAATAGCTTACTCTTCCTCACAACTGTTGAATATCAAATAATATAAAATACTTTTAGTGACATCTGATGAAAATAAACCTTACTGATGTTTTAAAACATATTATCACATATTAATTTTTTTATACCATTAGAATAAGAATCTTGAGTTTTACTTTGCTGCTCCAAAAATTGATTCATTTCATTTTACAACAACAAAGGAGGCTTCTTTAGTATGTTCCAACAGAACCTGAAGTGTCAATCACCAGCTCTAAAACAACAAAGGAGGCTTCTTTAATATGTCCCAACAAAACTTGAATTGTCAATCACTAGCTCTAAATACAACAATGGAGGCTTCTTTAACATGTCCCAACAGAACTTGAAGTGCCATAATCAAAGCAAAAACTAACAAAACAGATAAAAGCAAGGGTAACAAGAGTATTTACCAGAAAGTAATAACTGTATTTATGGATCAATACTATCTGTATGCATTGTTACAAAAATATTTGCTTTTGGTACAAATTAAGTGAAAAAAAAAACATTTCAAACAGGAAAAATAAACCAGGATATAATATAACAAGTATTCTACCAAATTTGTATCATAATGATAAATGTGGTAATGATAGTATATAAAATGGAATGCATAGACTACAAAACCTTTTAGAAACAGGTGGACAAGTAACGACTAAATGCAAGAAATATGAAAAAAATCAAACATACTTGAATATATCATTGAAAAAATAACAAGACAAAAAATGTCAAAAATAAAAATATTGTATAAAGAATAAAAAACAAATATTGGAGAAATTTTGAAAGTTTTAATAATCAAACAATTAAAACCTAACATGAATAAACATCAGGAGCACAATTATATTTGTATTATATTATTCATATTAAATAATAAAGCCAGATACAGCTAGTGTCATATTAAATAAGATTATGGGACTACATATATGTATACAAGTTCATATTTCAATATTAGACATGCAACAATGTACTTCAAAAATACATTAAATAATCCAATAAAAAGGTGTTTCAAGAGCTTTATACAACAATTTAATATAATAAGTTCAGAATGTAATATTGCTAATTATTAGTTCTAAATAAATACAAATAAGATTAATGTCACCATAAACAAATAAAATCCAGTGTTATTCAATTCAAACCAAAATTCAAAAAGATCAACTTCACATAGCACATTTGGAATATATACTATATTTTGACAGTTGCTCAGCATTGTCAAAAACATGAATGTCACTACAAACAGATACACTCCAGTGTTATCCAATTTAAATAACATCCATTTGGCATAGAATGATAGAAACAAATTTATCTTCTTGTGATAGTAAAATTCAATCTAAGTTTTCTATTTGTGAATAAAGCTGAGATATGTTAGAAACATAGCTCAAGAAGTGTAGTTCACAAGAATAAATCAATGTCTTGATTTGGAGCTATCTCAGACACATTTACTGTAAAAAAATAATAATAATAATTCCATACTTCCTAAAAATACAACTCTTTCTTTACTAGTGAAGAATGTCATAAGTTCATTTCAGTACACCTAAAATTAAAAAATACTAAGAAACAGAAAAAGGTTTCTATCACTAATTTAGTTTTTATTGAAACATAAAACATTAAAGGACAAATTTTTTCTTATGATGTTTAGGAACACATAAAAAAGAAAGAGAAAAGAATGAGACTTCTAATGGCACTTAGCTTGATGTTTGATGGTGTAAAATACATCATGAAACAAATATTTTATATTTTCTAAACATGTTTAACCTGATGTTTAGTGGTGTAAAAACAGCAAGGAAATAAAAATCAACAAATAACAATAAGCACAACAGAAGCTGATACAAGTTAAATCTCAAAATTTCATTCCAAATTGTTAAATAAAACCTGTTACAAAAGAAGTTTACCTTGTGAAAAAATTACGTCCAAATTTAGCCCAGTGATCAATGAGGAGTTCTTCTAGACTTTTTCCTTTTTTAGCTAAAATTGAAAGCCATGCTAGAGCTGCCCAGACTCCATCTTTCTCCCTGAATTGTAAGAAAAGTGTGAAGTTACAGTTTAGGTCACAAGTTATATTTTCATGTTAATACTGGCTTACTAATTACAAGCTTGTGTCTTCTTGATAATTGTTTCCAAAAACTATACACATTAAAATTAGAAATCTTCAGAGGAGATATCATGCCAATACACATTTTTCATTTCTACACGCAAATACCTGTAAATGTACATAATACATTACATTAAAGTAGTTAATATTATTCTTTCAAATAAAAGTCCATATAAACACCAAAATAAATACTAAAACTAATATTATAGCTGTAGCTGATGTGGTTAAACAGATAGTTGCAATGGAAAAACATCAGAAGTGGTATTGTAAATTGTAACTGTGACTAATTCACCCAGCTCGTAACCACAAAAGTATTCATAAGAGTAATTATACTATGATTTTTGATAATCTGTGCACATCTTTATAAAATTTTGCAGGTTATTGGTAAACATAACAAGGTTTTCATGCACAAAATATCAGGTTTTTAAATTAAGTATTAAGATTTTCTCGTAAACATTTTTCTTTCAGAATGTTGACTATCCAACATGTAAAGCAGTTTTAATTTTAAGATTAAAAATATTTTAATGCATCAAAACATTTTCAAATTTCACATGCAAAATCTTTATAATCTCCAGATAATTTTAAATTTTTTTGTAGAAAAAACTATTTTATTTGTTATTTTCACCAGTGTATTTCTGTATGGGTTGGTTCGATATGACGGACTTCATAACCTCAATAAAAAAAATTCATAAAAAATATAAATTATGCTTTTTTCGTTCTAGAATGACTACAAATTATAACACGAAAATACAAATTCTTAGCTTAAATCTCATAACATTATACATTTATGTATATATTTATTATTATCTTTTATTATATTGACTTTTTAGCCATGCCTGGATAACAATACAGAAGTTACAATGATGTGGTGCATGTGCACTCATGTTACTGTATCCCATAACCTTTAGTCTTTACAAAGTGACCTGTGTTGTAGTGGACCATTATTTTGTAAAATATAGTCACATTTCAATTATTATACATTATATATGTAAATAGATTATTACTATTTACAAATAACTTCTTAAATTTATTTTCTTAAAACATAGAACAGTAAATAAAGAAATAAAGTAAACAATTATCTCTTCTAGTTACAACCTTTGTACTCGTTTACCGCTTGTCTTAGGTTGCAAAGCTTTATAAAATTTCCCATGTGGAGGATATAAAAAGAACTTTTTTTAAGTTTTACATATATATATATATATATATATATATATGTATATATCTGCTGTACCGTACACTCCGTCCTTCGGTCCGTACAGCAGTAAAACAAACAAAGGAGGTCTTCTTTAATATCGTCCCAAACCTAAAACTTAG